CGGGCGCCGGAAAATCGAGTTCCGAGGCGGCGCCGAAAAAAGGCGATTCCAATACACATTTTTCTTTCGAAAGTGCTGAGTTTCTGCTTCCGGCGCTCGGGAGGGAGGCCGTCCGGGCCGATTCCGGAGCTCGGGCCGGCACCCGGCCCGGCTCCTGGGCCGGACGCCCGGGTCGGCGCCCGAGCCGGCGCCCGGGCGCCAGAAAATCGAGTTTCGAGGCGGCGCCGAAAAAAGGCCATTCCAATACACATTTTTCTTTCGAAAATGCTGAATTTCTGCTTCCGGCGCCCGGGAGGCCGTCCGGGCCGATTCCGGAGCTCGGGCCGGCACCCGGCCCGGCTCCCGGGCCGGACGCCCGGGTCGGCGCCCGAGCCGGCGCCCGGGCGCCGGAAAATCGAGTTCCGAGGCGGCGCCGAAAAAACGCCATTCCAATACACATTTTTCTTTCGAAAATGCTGAATTTCTGCTTCCGGCGCCCGGGAAGCCGTCCGGGCCGATTCCGGAGCTCGGGCCGGCACCCGGCCCGGCTCCCGGGCCGGACGCCCGGGTCGGCGCCCGAGCCGGCGCCCGGGCGCCGGAAAATCGAGTTCCGAGGCGGCGCCGAAAAAAGGCCATTCCAATACACATTTTTCTTTCGAAAATGCTGAATTTCTGCTTCCGGCGCCCGAGAGGCCGTCCGTGCCGATTCCGGAGCTCGGGCCGGCACCCGGCTCGGCTCCCGGGCCGGACGCCCGGGTCGGCGCCCGAGCCGGCGCCCGGGCGCCGGAAAATCGAGTTCCGAGGCGGCGCCGAAAAAAGGCCATTCCAATACACATTTTTCTTTCGAAAATGCTGAATTTCTGCTTCCGGCGCCCGAGTTCCGAGGCGGCGCCGAAAAAAGGCCGACAAAACATATGTTTCTTTCGAAAATGCTGAATTTCTGCTTCCGGCGCCCGGGAGGCCGTCCGGGCCGATTCCGGAGCTCGGGCCGGCACCCGGCCCGGCCGGCACCCGGCCCGGCTCCCGGGCCGGACGCCCGGGCAGTTCCGATCGCGCCGAAAAGAGGCCATTCCAATACACATTTTTCTTTTGAAAATGCTGAATTTCTGCTTGCGGCGCCCGGAAGCCGTCCTGGGCCGATTCTGGAGCGGCTTTGGGCCGGACGCCCGAGCCGGCGCCCGTACGTGGTGCTTCTCTGCTTCTGGCGCCTGCGCAGCTTCCCGAGCCGCTTCTGGAACCATATCTGGGCCGGTCCAGCGATAGGTTTCCTGGATGTGCTGAACCATTAACTTTTTGAGACTTCTGCGTCTCAAGGATAGGGAGAGAAGACATTAAAGGAGGATCAAAAGCAACGTCGCTATGAACGCTTGGCTGCCACAAGCCAGTTCTACTTACTTGGACTACTACTACCGTTACCACTACTACTAGTGCTACAGCCGCAACAACAATATCATCAACTGCTGCTACTACAACTACTCATCCTTCCTCCCCCTCCTCCCCCTCCGTTCTCCTCCTCCCCCTCCCTATCTCTCTCATTTCCCCCTCCTCTTCCTCTTCCTCTCCCTCTGAGATGCGGGGCATGCGCAAGGCGATTGCGAAGGCGATGTGCCGTCCGAGCTATGGATGTTGAAGTTCCTCGGAAGAGGTGGTGGCCAAACCTTCTTGGGCGGGATATCTGGGTGAGGGAATATCGGATCCCGCATGCCAGAAAAATCCCCCATGATGGGGTGTGTTATCCAGATGGATGCATGTGTCATGTGGAAGCATGGCGCATGAGGGTAAAATTATTGTTGTTGTTGTTGGTGTTGTTGCTGCTGCTGCTGCTGCTGCTGCTGTTGTTGTTGTTGTTGTTGTTGTTGTTGTTGTTGTTCGGTACGCGGTCCCCGAAAGTCTCTCCTTTCCCAGGACCATTTTTTCGTACTCAGTCGTTTTTTGATGGCCCAGGGGCCCGGCGAGGGCTCCGAGAGGCCGAAGACGACAAATCACTTCCCGCCCTGACTTTTTCAAGACGCGAACATGTCTGAATCGGCCTCCCGCAGAGTCGGGGGTTGCTAAAGGTACCCCTTGGCCCAATGTGCCCCAAGCTTTTCGCTCCATTTTGGAGCCCCCTTTGGAGGCCCTCTGGGCCTCGTGAGGGGTGCTCCGGAGGCCGTGGAGGCCTCCTTGAAAATCCTGGGGGCACCTTGGGCCAGGGGCACTGCTAGCAGCACCCGACAGGTTGGGCGTTGCACAGGTGTCCCTGGCCCAAGGTGTCCCCAGGATTTCCGGGGAGGCCCACGCGGCCAGAGCCCCGGGCCTCGAGGCCCAGAGGGCCCCATAGGGGAGCTCCAAAGGGGCGCGAAGAGCCAGGGGCAACTCGGCCGAGGGCCACTGCTAGCAGCTCCCGGCAGACGGGGGATGGGGCGGCCCGCCCAGCCGGCGGGCACGGGAGGTGGACGCGCTCGACGTCTCGGAGATCCTCGGGGCCGTGAGGCGGGGCCCTCGGGGCTGAGCAGGGGCCTGGGCGAGGAGGAGGAGGAGGAGGAGGAGGAGGAAGGAGGAAGGAGGGCGAGGGGAGGAGGGAGGGAGGAGCCCGAGGAGGGGAGGGGGGAGGAGGGAGGAGGACGCAGGAGGGAGGAGGAGGAGGAGGGAAGGAGGGCGGGGGGGGGGAGAGGGAGGAGGGAGGATGAGGGAGGGGGAGGGGGCAGCATGCAGTACTGGGCTAGCTTCCTGGAGATCCGTTCGCCGCTGTGAAAGAGAGGATCGGCGCTCTGAGGAGAAGCGCTTTGAGCAGGGGGAAGAGGAGGAAGAGGAGGAGGAGGAGGAGGAGGAGGAGAAGGAGAAGGAGGCTGAGGATGAGGATGAGGATGAGGATGAGGATGAGGAGGATGAGGATGAGGGATGAGGAGGATGATGATGATGATGATGTGATGAGATGATGATGATGATGATGATGATGATGATGAATGATGATGATGATGATGATGAGAATGAGATGATGATGATGATGATGATGATGATGATGATGAGGTGGAGGAGGAGGAGGAGGAGGAGGAGGAGGAGGAGGAGGAGGAGGAGGAGGAGGAGGAGGAGGAGGTGGGGGAGGAGGAAGAGGAGGAGACGGAGGCGGAGGCGGAGGCGGATGAGGAGGATGAGGAGGATGAGGAGGATGAGGAGGACGAGGATGAGGATGAGGAGAAGGGGGAGGAGGAAGGGGAGGAGGAAGAGGATGCGGAGGATGAGGAGGATGAAGCGGACGGCGAGGACGAGGAGGAGGGAGAGGGGAAGGAAGGGCAAGAGATTTGATGGAGTTTTTCCGCACCCGACAAGTCGGGGTTGGTAGGTTTTAAGAACAGCCCCCCCGGCCAACCCCACCCTGCATACCGCGGCGGCCAGACCCGAAATTGTCCCCATGATCCCCGAGAATCCCTGGTGTCCCGCCTCGCGCCCGGCCAACCCCACCCTGCATACCGCTGCCGCCAGACCCCAAGTTGTCCCGTTGACCCGAGAATCCTGGGTGTCCCGCCTCGCGCTCGGCCAACCCCACCCTGCATACCGCGGCCGCCAGACCCCAAGTTGTCCCGATGATTCCCGAGAATCTCGGGTGTCCCGCCTCGCGCCCTCGACGAACACGACATGACATAACATGACAGAACAGAACATGACAGAACGGAACAGAGCATGAGAGAACATGACATAACATAACATATCATTGCCAGGGTAATTAAGAGCATAACAGAGAATCGCATACCACACCGTATCATAACATTGCATAACATAACACGACATAACACAACCCCGCAACACATAACCGAATCTACCATAACATTCATTGCTATACGAAATCGTACCATGACACAGCATGTCATATCACATCATAATACGACAGCAGGGCATAGCGACCACGAACACGACATAACACAACATGCCACAACATACCATGAAATAACATAGCACTAGCATGACATAGCATGCCATACCATAACATAGCAACATCATGACACAGTACATCATTCCATAACATCACAACACATACCATGTCCTAGTGTGACATAACGGAAGACGGCATAACACAGCATAGCAAAACATAGCCGAACACACCATTTCGACATAACATATCATGTCATGACACATCATCACATACCATATCATAAAGCGACAACAGGGCATAGCGACGACGATCACGACATGCCACACTATGACACAGCATGCCATGACAGAACATAACACGAGCATGCCATAATGTGTCATAGTACAACAAAACATATTGACAATATGGCAAGATGTATCATAGCACAACACCACATATCATACCATAACACAACATACCATACCAGAAAACCGCATCCCGTAACATACCATACCATATCTGACAAGACCAGAACGCACCGTTACACAACACATCGTATCATGACACATCAACACATCACATAGCATAACACGATGGCAGGGTACAGCGACACGTATTAGCAGAGCATATCATAGCATGCTAGACAGAGCCGAGCCGTCACTACACATACCATCACATACCATACCATAGCAGAACACGACATAACATAATACGACCAACACATCATAACATACCATACGCGATCATATCATTTTAACCTAGTTATACCACATCACACCATGACACATCAGCACATGATATATAATAGCACGACAGCAGATCTTAACGACACATACTAGCACAGCATATCATACTACACCATACAGAACCAGGCCTTCAACACACATACCATCACAGAATATACAAATCCAGAAACGGCAGTTGCCGACCGATTCGGCGACCGCGCGCCGTCGAGAACAAACGCTTACGGTTTCGGTGGGGATCGCTCGAAGCAAAATAATTGTTGTTTCGGGGCCTCTGGGCTTCTGCAGGGCTTTGGGCTCTTTGTGCTCCTGGAGTTCTCTGGAGGCCTTCTCGATCTCGCGGAACCTCCAGAGACCAGAGGGCGCCACGACGGCTCGATGGAGAGGCCCTGAGCCATCCCAAGACGGCTCCAGAAAGCCCATGAGGCCCTCAAGCGATTCCCGATATTCCCCAGAGGGCCTGAGAGGGCCAGAGGGCGCCCAGACGGCCTGGAGGATACCAGACGGCCCCGAATGCTCCGACAATGCCCAACAGGCCCTGAGAGGCTGGAACGCACGCCCGCGAGGCCAACGAGATCTCCCCACAGTCTCGACGTTACTGCATGCCCCAGTGGCAGAAAGCAGCGGCTCACAGCAGCGGGCAGCACCACGCCGCAGCATGCAGCACCGAGCAGCACCGAGCATCACCAAGCAGCCACAAACGACAGCAAGTACTATGAGACACTGCAGCGAGTGACCCAAGCAGCAGCGCTTCCTGTTGTCCTCGAACTGTACGTTCAGGAGGGATCGAGGCCCTGGGAGCGAGGAGACCGGCTTGGAGGTGTCCCAGGCCGCCCGAAGCTGAATAGACACCTCGGGGATGCCAACATGGCATTGGGGTGGCGGACGGCCTGAGAGGACCTGGTTCGGGGACGCCGAAGCACAACTTTTTTGCGACCCGTGCGACCTGAGATGACTCCAGTTTGGGGACGCTAACACAGTCCTTTGCGCCCAGGCATGTCGCGCGCGTGCCGAACAACGGAGACATCATTGGTAGAACTGATGTTTGAACCGTTCCCACACATGCCTGCGGTTTGAAGCGTTCGAATGGGTCCTAAGGTTCTGCAGAGAACGGCTGCGGTGGAACAAATAATTAACAAATAATTGCGGGTTTGACAGAATCGGCATCGGGCATTTCTCAGGTTTGTGCAGTTTGAGAAACGAAGAACTCAGCAGAAGTGAGTTTTGCGAATTGGCAAATGTGATCTGCTGTTTGGAAGCCTCAGTCGCGCAGCCTGGTGGCCCGCACGGGGGTCTGCGATTTTTTGCTGCAGCAGCTTTTGGGACACATCGCCAGATGATGACAAGAGAGCCTGTTCGGTTCATCTCTCGACGCGAGCTTCGGCTTGCGCATGACATAATATTCGCATCGCAACGCCCGAATTGATGTCTTCGTCTGCGGGTGGTGATATTGGAAGCGATGGTGAAACTATGTCGATATGTGATGACAAGGCAGCGTATTAGGTTCATGTCTCGATTAGAGCTTCGGCTTGCGAACAACCCTTACTTATCATTGCACCCCCAGGGCTGATGGATTCGTCTACATCCGTTGGATTTGGCGGTCGGTCTTTCGATTGGCATTGACAGATGATCTCAAGAGAGCATTTTCGATTCATCTCTCGACGCGAGCTCCGAGCCGTGCATGACCCACACTTCTCATCCTAATGCAAAGGCTGATGTTTTCCTGGACATGCACATGTTTCGGCAACAGCTTTTGGTACACATTTCCAGATGATGACAAGCTATCGTGTTATATTCATCTCCTGGCACGAGCTTTTGCTTGCGCATGTCCTACCTAATCATCGCAAAGTCAGGGCTGATGTTACCGTAGAGTCGTACTGTTTGTGACAACAGCTGTTGGGACACAGTGCCAAATGACGAGAAGCTAGTATGTTAGGTTCAGCTCTCGACGCGCGCTTTGGCTCGCGCAGGACCTAAGCTTCTCATCGCAACGCCAGAGCTGATGACTTCGTGATCATGCGTGCGTTTTGGCAGCAGGCCTGGAGAGAAACTGCAAGATGATGATACGCGAGCATATTGGGTTCATCTCTCGATGCGGGCTTCGGCTTGCGCATGACCTAGCTTCGTCATCATAATGCCATAGCTGGTGGCTTCGTGGGCAGTCGTATGCTTTGACAGCAGCTTTTGGAGAGACTTCGCCAGAGGATGACAAGAGAGCATGTTAGGTTCATCTCTCGACGCGGGCTTCGGCTTGCGCATGACGTAAATTTCTCATCGCAACGCCAGGGCTGATGGCTCCTCGGGCATTTGTACATCTTGGCAGCAGGCCGTGGGACAGACTGCCAGATGATGACAAGAGAGCATGTTAGGTTCATCTCTCGACGCAAGCTTCTGCTTGCGCATGACCTCAACTTCTCATCGCGAAGCCAGGGCTGATGGCTTCGTGGGCAGTCGTATGCTTTGACAGCAGCTTTTGGAGAGACTTCGCCAGAGGATGACAAGAGAGCATGTTAGGTTCATCTCTCGACGCGGGCTTCGGCTTGCGCATGACCTAAACTTCTCATCGCAACGCCAGAGCTGATGGCTCCTTGGGCATTTGTACATCTTGGCAGCAGGCCGTGGGACACACTGCCAGAGGATGACAAGAGAGCATGTTAGGTTCATCTCTCGACGCGAGCTTATGCTTGCGCATGACCTCAACTTCTCATCGTGAAGCCAGGGCTGATGGCTTCGTGGGCAGTCGTATGCTTTGACAGCAACTTTTGGAGAGACTTCGCCAGAGGATGACAAGAGAGCATGTTAGGTTCATCTCTCGACGCGGGCTTCGGCTTGCGCATGACCTAAACTTCTCATCGCAACGCCAGAGCTGATGGCTCCATCGGGGCCATTTGCTAAGACTT